TGATCCTGTTGTCATTAGAGCTTCCAACACTTCACCAGTTGGAGAGGAGTCAAAATCTCCTTATATGGATGGTAGTGGTTGTTGTAGGCTATTTGGTGATGCCAAATATATATACATAAAAACAACCTATATCATCCCAAACAGGAGATTCTTGAGGAATGTCACAATTTATGATAGCCAGCCAACTTTATCTGGAATACTACATAGCACCACCAAAATAAACCTATGAAACAATCAAAACACATAAATCTTGGCTAAATAGTGTAAATTCAGGGTTCTCTGGCATTGATTGATTAGAGGTTTTTGAGCTATTATTGGATGTGGAAACAACAGAGTATGGAAGAAAAAGCTTGACTAACCTTCTCCATAGACTATGACTATATAGTAACTCACTAGAAGGCTGCAGTAAAAACTTTGTGTGAAACCTAGATAAATATTGGGTGATCCATTGGAAGATTGTGAAACTGCTAACATAGGTTCCCCTAATTTTTGGCAACTTTAATAATCACTATTGAGGGCTATACAGCTGACTCTTCCCGATTTGGCCACTACTCCTTGTGGCCCAAAAGGGAAATTCCTGGTTCTTTTCCAATGCCCATGGATTGACATGACCTTTAATGATGATATTCAACATTTCTAATAGAAACAATACACATTCAGGAATCAAGACACTTGAAGCCACCAGTCTTATAGCCTAAAGTTCTATCCTGACAGATTTTCCAAGCTAATGGGAAATGATGATATGGTAGCTTGATATGCTTCCAGATCATCATGTAAGCCGTGGTAAGCTTTGGGATACTTGATACCAGGGATTCAGATTGACAAAAGACCAATTTGTAGTATTTACAAGCTACAATCTCCTAAATCAGATATGAGTTGATGTAGATGCCATTGGCCTCCAAGTGGATTTATGCTACTATGAAAGAGTCCATTGAGGCTGTATGGATCCTCCAGTCAGTTCCAGACTTTCAGTGGCTTAACATGGACGTGCTAGAAGACCCAACCATCAATTTTATGCCCAAATCAGCAAAGGCTTCATATGCTTAGCCTGGGGGTAGTTACCCACTAGAACATACATGGAACATGTTGGGTATTGCTTCCGAGCAGTATGGAACTAATCCTAGGTACATCAGACAGTTTAGCATGTCTTGAGAGTAGATGACATTTTTGCCTTGTTTCTCAAATAGGGTCCTCAATATGCTAGTCATGACCCTAAAAACACTGTCATTTACAAGGAAATGACTTTCTCTTGCCTATATGAGCTTACCTGAGGCAATTCAGAGTACTGGTGCATCCAGGAGGTTTGGAGCTATAAGTGTTTATATTCCAGTTAGTTGCTTGGGTAGACATATAGCCATTTAGCTGTTCAACCCTTTGGGATTCATATTTCATCCAAATTGCTCTGAATAAGCTCATTTGGGCAACATTTAAGTATCATCTATCCATTACAACAACTCCTAGACCCTTACATGGCATATTAAGTGCCCTATAAGCAGATCAGGCCAAAAATGTCAATGCATATCTTGACATTCTCAATAGTCTAATCACTCCAAATTTACCTTCCGCCTACTTAATATTACTCTCCTATATGTTCCAAATGGCTTGTAGTGCATCCTAAGCACTGTGGTCAAGCCAAGCAGGACTTTTTGGGATAGGCTATAAAACTGATCATTAAGTCTCACAGATACTCTGGAGTCCCATATGAGTGAGTGCAAACAGACTTGGGCATCCCTGGTATGTCTGTTACATCCACCAAAATGACCTGAAAACCTACAAAAGCTCATGGGTTCCAAATCTGCAAATATGGAAGTAACCAGATTTATATCTCCCAGCATGGATATATGATGTTCTGAGCCATTGTGTGTGTAAAGTAAAGGTTTTCAAGAGTGCTGGAGGTCAAGGAAGAAAAGCCAGAGATATTCAACACTCTTGTAGCATCATTCCCAATTTGGATGGGAGATTGATCAGGTATGAGTATTTGCACTTTGGCAGGGATGGATTTGAGAGATTGAAACCTTCTATGAAAGATATTCTAAATAGATTGAATCATAGAACAGGTCTCACAAGGTTCTTTAGGTCTATATGCATTGCAAAGAAAATAATTTCCCTTTTGGGCCAGTAGGAGTAACAATCAAATTGGGAAGACTCTTCTGTGTAGCCCTCAATAGGTAGTTAAAAAACCAGATTAAATTAGGATGAATCGATGTGATTGCTCCTACAAGTTTCCCATATAAGAGTCAATATTCACTTAGCTTTTTACTCAAAGTATTGACTTGGCACAATGTTCTAGGGAGTACTATGGAGAGGTAGGTTCTGTAGAAGTCCAATCAAGTTCTGTTTCACATACTATTTTGTTTCTAACCCAATACTCTGATAAAACCCAGCCACTCTGAAACACAATATCCAAGACAGCCTTGATTTACACTATTTAGCCAAGATTTATGTGTTTTGATTGTTTCATAGGTTTATTTTGGTGGTGCTATGTAGTATTCCAGATAAAGTTGGCTGGCTATCATAAATTGTGACATTCCTCAAGAATCTCCTGTTTGGGATGATATAGGTTGTTTTTATGTATATATATTTGGCATCACCAAATAGCCTACAACAACCACTACCATCCATATAAGGAGATTTTGACTCCTCTCCAACTGGTGAAGTGTTGGAAGCTCTAATGACAACAGGATCATAATATATATCTCTTCAATGTAAGCCAGCCTGATCACAGGTCTATAAAATTTGACTGTGACTTCTCATCCAGTGGTACACTGGCTGTGGGAAGTCCCACAGTTAATAGGTGGGACATCCCACAATATTTTCAAAAGATGGGAGATCCCATTGGTTTTGCCTGGGATGTCCCAGGTGGTTGAGTGGGAGGTCCCACAACTAGTGCCAAGACAATGGGAGGTCCCATGTTACCCTGGGACATCCCACATGTCCCATTTGTTTACGTGCAGGTGAGTATGAGGTGACATCAATATTTTTTAAAATAGAACAATGTTGTTGCAATTGGTTCTTGTCTTCTACCCAGTTTTGCCTTGAGTAGATAGCTGATCACACAAGCTGCACAGTAATTGGTTTCCTGGGCTTTGGTATTCCTGACAGCACCAAGGGAAAAGGAAAGCTACACTATACATATTTTATACAGCCTACATAACACAGGACTGGGCTACAGCAAGAACAATGGCTGGTGGGACATCCCACAGTACAAAAATGGTCCTAAACTAGGCCAAAAAAGGCATTTTTTCCGGCCGGCCTGCGGCCGGATGGGAAGTCCCACACCTGCCATAAAAGGCAATTTTCGGTGCACCTGTAGTGTGGGGGGACATCCCATGCCTGCAGTGGGACGTCCCTACTGCCCCATATATGACCATCAAAAAAGTGTCTTTAGGGCTAGTTAACTCCCTTTGAGCATTTGGCCCTATGGGGTGCCCAGGTTGGTAGCCTGAAGTGTGTTCGGCTTACGCTCGAGACGCAGACGCGCGGCGGCGGCGCGGACGACACGGGCATGCGGGTGGCGGCAAGCGCAACATCCTCTCGCGACGGCCCTGGGCGGACTTGCATGGCGGCGACCGGTGCTCGCTCGGCGTGGCAGGGTGGGTGATGTGGACACAGCACCAGGATGGATGCCTAGCAGGAAACAGATGTGGTGCCGCCCCGCCGCCCGCCTCGTTTCGTGCGCTGCTCCGAATCGGGTGAGTCGCGCCCCCCCCCAACTTGTGGTGTTCGCGCTACGGGCGGGAGGCGATGCAGGGGCGGCACGCAGCGCGCAGAACTCTACGCCAGCACTCATGTGCAGCGCGGCGTCGTGGGCGGGGGCGGACTGTGGCGGGGCAAGGCTCGGCATGTTGACGTTGACATGCCACAATATTCCATAGTACCATCCTTAGTTCTCCTTCAAAATCAAATGTTCCTTTTGACTCTGAGATCTGTGGCAGCAATATCTAGCGGAAGTAGGAACTTTGAGGCAAGTGTTCACGAGACATTCGGGCCATTGGCGGGAACTTGAAGGCATTTGTTTGAGCAGCCAAATGGGGCTGGCTTCATCCGAGGTTCCTCAATCGAGGGTAAGTAAGAAACCCAATTTGGCCTGGGCAGGGCTTGGCAACGTGTCGGGGTTCAAAGCAGATTAGTGCATGTGTCGGTTTTTCCTGAGGTGTGGTGCAGTCCATCAAACCTAGCCGCCGTGTCGCGGTGTCGGTTTTGAGGGAGCCTCGATTTGAACTGTTTGCTTACTATCTGTTCGCAACTTGCGAGGAGTCACAATGAAACAAATAATTGAAAAATAAACAGTACCAACTGCTTTGAGCGTAGAGGGACTCACGCGTGACTCGGAGGAAACGATCTGATAGTTTGGTCGATGAACTCAATGGAGCAGTGAAATGAAACTACATTTTTTTATGGACGGCTGAGTCAGCGACGGACCCAGCCCAAGGAAGGGACGTGATCAGACAACAGGGCAACAATTTTAATTGCTGCACATACATATGTCTTGTCTTGAACATCGGCCGGCCGCCACAACGACGTCGCGGAAAGACCCCCGAAGGTACGTCCTCACTTTGGGACATATGCTACTGAACTAACAACGATTATGGACCTCGTAGGGCCCAGTTTCGACTCTCTAGTAGGACGGTGCGATCCTATCTTAGTGCGCAGTACATCCACTTCATTTCACTCAATCCCTTTGATTCGGGCATGGGTAAACTGACGTTGTGACGTTGTAACCGGGCGCTGAATGAGAAAATGGGGTTGCCGCCGCTCCCGCGCGCCCTGTCGCTTCACCACCTCTCTACCCACCACTGTGGCCCCTGTCACCCGCTTCCGCTGCGCCCAACGCGCCATCCTCGTCCCGAACTTACTTACTTATGTTTTCCTGTAGAGAATAACATTTTTTTTGGATACAAGCATACTAGTGGGAACGAAAGTGCTACCTGCATATCTGGGGGCGTCGATGTTTATGCAGAGGATGACGCGGATCACAACGAGGGCTAGAAAAAAAAAAGCGACCTTGGCGGGGCTCGAACCCACGATATTCGTCACGAAGTTAAGGAGAGGGTACAACACGACGACGCTTTACCAACTAAGCTACAAGGTCCAGTTGCTTCACTCCGCGCTGCCTCCCCTTGCCCCGCGGAACACGCCGCTGCCCATACATTGAACTCTCCCCCGCCGCCGCCCCACAAATGTGCCGCAAACGTCAGTGTCCCCGCACCACCCCTCCGCAGCTTCGCTTCGTAGACGCGTCCAGAGCTCGAGGTCCTATCGCGAGGACCGCTGTGTTGCCTCTCCTTCCCCACCCTGCGGCGCCACTCCTCTCCCGTGCATCTCTCCCCACGCACGCGCTCTCTTTGCCGCTTCGCGGACGTACCCCAACGCCGGTGGTTACGCTGGGGGACCCGTCGCTGGTGTACGCATAACGCATACAGGCAGCTATCGAGCCACGCACTCTCAGGCGCAGGCTGAAGGCCCCCCCTCTCGCTGTTTGCTTAAGGCGTGGGTGCGCGGGCACATATTCCGCGACTCGGCGCCCGTGCCCACGCCCGCGCTCGCCGGCGGCCCGCACCTCAGAAAATGAAGCGAGACGGCGTGTTGCACGCGCCGCATCCCGAGCCTTGGCGTGCGCACTAACCCAACCCCGCAGATTTGGACCTGACGTAGCTGCAGGTGAGTGGCGACGCGAATGCATGCACCCGTTGTTCATCCCTGCGGCCCCGTACAGTTCCGCGCGACACGCTCGTGCGCGCACGGTCGGAGGCGCGTACACTGCCAAGTAAAGCGTATTGTGGGGCAAAGGGATTATGCCGCAGCAGTGCTTTTTGCCGCATGCTGCGGTAATCTTGCGGCACTCTGCGGCAATTGAGTTTGCGGCACATGTCGGACTCGCATCAATCTTCCAGGCATCTGCCCCATACCTTGTCTGCTGATACTTAGGGCCTGTGGATTCAGTTTAGACATAGAGTATGAATGATTCGTCGATGTTGAATGGCCTTGCGGCACCGAAGAAAATTTTGTGCTGCGGCACTCTGCGGCACTCTGCGGCAGTTGAACAGCGGCAAATAGATTATTGCCGCAGGCGGCGGCAAAGCCTGCGGCGATGTTGCATTTTGCTGCGGCAGTTCCGCCGCAGGTTGCGGCAGTTGAAATCAATTGCCTGCACCAGTTCGATGGTACTGTACTATTTCGTTCAGGTCGACCGTCACGCGTCACGCACCCCCTGGTCGATGGCGAATTTTGGACGTTTGTCACGCGTCACCCACCCCTTGGTCGAATCAAAATTCCGTTACGCTGGTCCAATTTTCGCTCAAAATTGTGCTCGCGACGCGAAAATGCCAAAAAAAATCGGTCCGCAGGTCGAAAATTTCGGTTTGTCACACATAATTTTGGCCTTGGTCGGATGGTCGAATCGGTACTTTGTGTCACGCGTCACACCCTAGGTCGATCTGAATGAAATAATACAGTAGTCTGCGGCAGTCAGCGTCACTCCAACAGCGGGACTGCGGCAATGTTGTGATGCTATCAATCTTCAGAGCTCGTGCGGCACTCTCTGCAACATTTATATCACTAATCTGTCATAGATATATAAGACAAACAGTCTGAGAATCGCTTCCTGCTGGATCTGCAAATATGAACATGACAAAAGTTTCTAGGCACTTGCGGTACTCGCTCTGCGGCAGTAGCACAGCCACCCTGCGGCAACGTTTACGCTGCCTTCAACATTGTTCTCGCTGTATCTTGTTTTCCATCTGCAATCAATAAAATTGTGATAGAATACGCCAGTCAAAGGATCTGGTCCAGTGCTTACTATATAGTTTCAAGTTGAGATTCAAAATGCTCAGAGAATTCTATCTGGGCTTCTGTCGCCGGTATTTGAGATCTAGTCACCCTGGGCAATGTCAGCTTAATTAAGCCTTATGTTGATATAACACGCAGTCTGAGTAATACTAGTTGAGCACCTCAGAGACTAGGGCAGTGTGCGGCGATAGCTGTGTACTCTGCGGCAGTTTTCCGTAACCCTGCGGCAATTTGAGTTTTCGCTGCGGCACTCTGCGGCAGTGCTGCGGCAATGCAATGCAGCAGCGGCACTTTCCCCCTGCCCGCGCGGCTGGGTGAACGATGCCCTTTTTTTTCGAGTCGGCACCCAAGCCTGACTCATGCGTGCACAAGACTGTTCGAGTCAAGTGGACAACAATCGTATCAACAAAACTTCTCACCGTCCGCGTGTTTTCACACAATTCGCACATTTCTCTCATGCCCAAATCCCCCTCAGCGCCAATATTTGAAATGGAAGGCGGGACTCCGACGGCGCGATGCAGCACTAAGTAGTACTAGTGCCCGCCGTTCACAGGCGCATGTCGGAAAAATCCGATAAGACTGTCTAAGAATTAAATTAAAGACTGACAGTCTTATCGGATAGTACCTCTGCGGCAACAGCCACTGGTGAACTCTGGTATATTAATTGGAGGTACAGTTTGAGTTTTGGTGGGGGTTAGCAGAGCGAGCGCTCGCGTGAAAGTTGAAGAAGTGCAGGCAAGAATTGTCAAGTGGGACATCACGAGGCTTACCCGATTGACTTGGCAGATTGACTTGCGCACCAAGCGGAGTTTAAATTTAGCAGTGTTGACTTGTGTAACTTGCGCGTGGATTGACTTGTGCTTGCGCCACTTTACACTAGCACTCACCACCATGGGAAATTGTCCCAGAACTAATGCTGAGCCCCTTATTCGACCCTCCGCTATCCGTAGACCTTACCCGGAACATGCCGAGGACCGTCCGGCAAAAGATTGATGACATCAGGATCGTTGATCTCTCGTTGTCGTCGCCGACGGCAACGAGCCGCGGTTCACTCGTTTTCAGTTGTATCTTCCCGCTCAGCTCGTGGGGATCCTCTTAGGATACAAATGAGCTGTTTAATTGGGCCCCCATTCTTGGTACGGTCTAAAACACACGAGGTTCAACTGCATTCTACTTACCTGCATATGGTAGGCATATGTCTAATTATGCACGGTCGCTTGCGCAAGTCAACCCGCTTGGCTTGGGTATACTAATCTTTGAGTCAATCGAGCTGGATATTTCTCGTTGCGGATAACAATTTCACAGTCACGCGCAAGTTCATCGGAGGATCCGAAGAATAACCTCACCGGCGAAGTCACAAGCTAGTTAACTCGCCCGACAACCCGGCATGGGCCCGGGTTGAGTCTTCAATTGAATCTAATTCATTGACTTAGGACGATCATCAAATTGGAAGGCAAAGGAAAACCGCCCATGGGCACAACATGGAGCAAGCTCCGAGAGCGTGCCTTCGAAGTCAATCAAGGTGATCTGACCGTGCAAGTCAAGCAAGTTACACAAGTTAACATGTCGGACACAAGTTAACTTGTGTAACTTGCTTAACTTGCCCAAGTTCATATTGACTTGGACATGCAACAATTGACTTGTGCTCAAGTTAAAATTCTAGGGTCATTGTGAACATCGGAGAATCTGTCCACAGCTCCGACGAACCAGCGAGACGACTGCTACGCCTCCTAGCCACAAACAATGGCTTGGGTTTAGGACGTGCTTCGGCTTTAGCATTTCTGCCGCTTTCGACATCTGTCTTGACTCGTTTCGAATCATGCTCCGAGTCGTCAGCTGAAGCAGGAACTACCTTCCTCTTCTTTTGTGCGGTCGTTCCTGAGTCCACGGCTTCTGATGGTGCAGATGAGGCCTCTGTATACGGAACATGGAAAAGGACCGATGGGTTTGGGATGACCGCAGAGGCATCGTTGCAATTCCACCGCCGAAACTGCGCCTGAACATCACTCATGTGATCCTGCATCAAAATCCGTGTTGCGCGCAAAACTTGTGCTAGCTATAGTTGTAGGCATGCCTGATACATGTACTATTTAATTATTCATCGAATCTATATTATCCTGCCTATCAACGCTTAAGGGCTCTTATTTTCGCCACCATTTGGGCAGGATAACCCGAACATTCTGATACAGTACAAATCAACTCTGTGAGTTTCTTGCTTATTACTAGACCATGGACTGTTGTACGACAGTGTATTCAGGTTATCTGAACGCTTTTAGTGCCACAAGTCAATGATCGGGCCAAGGGTTGGAGCGGGACCACTGCCGTGATCAGTGAGTATATTTTCATGGCAGCAACCGCTGCCCGGATATTTATAATTTCTTTGCTGGGCTGCTCCTACGGTATGCTTTCCAACCTACATTAATTATTTGGGGCAATCCGATGGCGGGGATGTGCCCAAGTCATCGGCGACAAAATGACTTGCACAAGTATGGGCGATATACTGTGCAAAAATTCATGTCATTTTACAGGGTTTTTTCTGACAACTTACATCTTCAATATGAAGTTTGGACCACATCTTTGCTTGCTGGCTGCCATCTCCCAGGTGGATTACACCTGTCCGCAGCTGACATTACAATTATTTGGGAATTGATTTCGATCAATTCCGCTTAGGCTCGGCTATCGGCCTATCTCGGCGCCCCACCCAAACCCGCGTTCTACTGCTCCAGGGGTGTACCAGCCGCTTCGGATAATAGCTATTCAAGTCGAATTTACTTCCCGGACGATGCGGAGAGCTCATTGGTGAATATTAATAAGAAGCCAATGAGATTGGTGTATTCATCCTTGTCCATTTGAACAAGTCTCGAAGGTGTGACCTACTATCCTGATCTTCACAAAGAATGAAGCAATGGATACCAAGGACCTTTATCGGCTGAATTACGAATGTTTTTGGATGGCAGTAGTGTTCTGTGCATAATAATTCAGTGGAGTTCCGTTTATGGATCTCGGCACGATGGCAAGATCATTGATTCGATCAATTAATCAAAACCTTCCAAATACTCTCAACTCCAAGTCCCACAGAAGTCAGCTTGAGAGCTGTAATCCCTTGCTGGTTGGTTGTACCTCCTGGGGATGGTCAGTTGTAACCTGATTGATTGAGATGTAAGCCAGATGCAAAGAAGATGTTGATGTAGTTGAAAACCCTGTTTTCAAGCATAGATTGTAACCAGTTATTTTTTGCACAGTATATGTGCCATACACAAGTCACAAATGTGACTTGCAAGTCACTATTTTGACTTGTGGCGT